ATTCATTGACAGTCTTGGGCACGTTGCGGACAAGTCCCGCCAACAGCTCTTAATTGACTTTAAGATCATGAACTGGGGCTTCTTCCCCTCATCTATGGCGGGGTTGGCGCGAAAGAACAGCCGGGTGATCTCTTCGACGAATATGGTCCCGTTTTTTTTTTTTCTTTTTCGGGAGTTGCGCCCGTGTCTCCAGCATGGCGGTGGCCATTTCCTTTCTGGCAACGCTCGTGAACGTTTTCAAAGAAGCACTGCAAATCAGTTCCTAGGTTCGAAGTCCAAACTTCCGCTTCTCGAACCAGGTCCCCGCCGTTCCTTCCAGGTAGGAGTATACGTTTCGGTATTTGTCTTCGGCGTTTCAGTTGCTGAACGTCGAAACCCTTTCTAACGTCTCCAGCCAGGTTTCGGGGTCCTCGAAAGGCGACGAGTGGAACGTCAGCGGCTCTCTTAGCGGTCGCATAGTTATCGTTGCAGGACATCCTGCAGCCGTCATCCTGCCTCCGGTCGTCGTCGCCGTGGCTTTTGTCTTGTATGGTAGGGGTGCGTATATGGGGCGTGAGGGGTAGTACTTTCAGTCGGCTGTTGGCTCACTTGTCGCTCATGGTACATAGCGGAAAAACCTGTAGAGCCGTGATAAGCGAGACTTGATGGGGTAGAGCTGTGATTAGCGAGCCTTGATGACAGCAAAAGCTGCAGTAGATTTTTTGTTGTTTCCGTTGCGAAAATTCTTATACGAGATTATTGCACATTGCGTGCTTATGAGAGATCGGAAATAAGTGTTGCTTGAAAAAAGAACAAAATGGACAATTCTTGAGATTGTTACATCAAATGATAGCATTGGTATTTTAACCACGAGAACAATAAAAAACAATACGACGCACCTATTTTTTCTATTTCGAAGAGATCAATCGCTATCTCTTTTTCTCTTACACGATTCTGTCATCAAGTGGTCGCGAATGAAAAAATAAAGTGCAACAAGCGCCTCAGAAAAAAAAGTACGTCGTGGATTACAAATGCAGTTCATTTCGTTAGTTACAAGTAAATATAAGTAAGCAGTAATATTTGTTTGAAACGTCATCAATGCCATATAATTCACGCAGAAACGTTTTACGCTTATGTTACGAACTGGTGAGGGTGCTGCTCAATATAAATCATAAATAAAATAAGTTCATAAGTTAGTTTTTTCCCGCCTCCTTTCTGATTTTGGTAGTTTGCCAGGGCTGTCCAGTCTGAACGATTTCCGTACTGCAAGATTTCGTGTTGTTTTGTGTACACGTTTTATACATTTTCATGGATGGACAAAAAAAACGTTATTGCGGCCTTTCGGAACGAGATTTAGCCCGTTTCGAACCGCTCCCACATCGGAACCGAAAGACCAAGTCTCTCTGCTGCGTCACCGGCCCATTGTACCGCCCATAGCTGATAAAAAACACACGAGCCTTGAATTTGGACCATGTGATGGTTTCGCTGCCGCTTAGCGCGGGGAATCGTCATATCACGTGTCCAAAATTAGCTATATCAGCGTATAGGAAACATGCTTTAGTTGCTGTATTTTGGGATAAATATTGCGCAATAAAGCGGGTTTGGGGCACGCCCTGACCTGAAGTAGCCTGAGTGCCAGAGCCTGAGGTCTAATTAATTTTCTTTGTGGTGAAGAGTATTGTCTCCGCCCCTGGTAAAAGCATTTTGTCAGTTGCAAGGGGGGAGGGCCCCAACACAATCTAAGCGAAGCTTCCCATGGTAGTTACGCAGCCACGTGGGCTGATTCGTTCAGGCAGGGTCACCTCCACGCCTCCTATGTGAGCTGGGAACCGGACGAGTATGTATGGCTCCATGTTTTTTTCCTGAACGATCCACAAAGCAGGTTTCGAGATGGAGAAAGCCACGAAGCTCTAATGAACGCGATCGAGTGATGCATCGCGTTTGGTCTAGCCGCAAAAGTGTGTGCCCATGTGGTTGGTCAGAGAATTCACCAAGGTCACACACTTTTATGGTTAGACCAAATATTGTTGATACTTTTACGATGCATCACTGTTTCTATTAGAGCTTTTGTTTCTTTTTGCAGAAAAATTCACACCTTGAAAATAAAGTGAAAGTGGTAACAGGGCACATAAGTTCTACGCAAGAGTACAGGAAACCCCTGTGACTTGAGAAAAAGAACCTTATTTAAATAGAAAAAAGTAAAAGAACTTCAAGAGTTTTCTGTTTGGCAGCCTAGCCTACAGTCACTAACAAGAGCTGTAAAAATAGTCCATCGAAGTTGGTGTCTGGATATACCCCATATTTTCAGAAGGGCCCTCCGGCAGGTGTCAGAAAGATATACTGAAAGATGTCTGACTGTAAGAGCTTCTAAAAACAGCTGAACCACCCTAAGGTAAGAAACACTTTCCGATAAAACAAAGTGCGGCTTGCGCGAAGCAGCACCAGCATGCACGCTGCAGTGCCGTCCATTTGCCGCATGACAAGCAGTTCACGCGTGGTTGATAGATGCCCCTTAAAATATTTTTTTTTCGCTCTTTAGCTTCGTTGAGCGCGTGCTTTCCGATTTCGTGAACTTCTCAAGCATCATTGTGCAGAGCAATAGACATTCCAGTACAGCAATTAAGTAGCGTGCCACGTTTCTCGAAGCAATGAATGGTGTGCAGCCGAAGATGAGCCAGCGTTTTTCGGTGCTTGCATTCGGACAAGCGTTATGCACTGGTATTATATTTATTGTTTTCCGAATCACTTTTTATTTGTGGTGGAAGTATGACGTTTCTAGTGCTCTGTGAACAAGATTTGCAGTGCGGGATAGCGAAAGAGTGCTGTATGTAGGAAAAGCCGAACTAGTTGGTACGAACACATTGTTGAATCGCGCTGATGAAAGGAACACCGGCGGGTGAGGACGACATGGTGCGAACTTTTTGACTCACATTTATTTTTTTTTGTTCAGAAAGACAACATATATACGAACAAACAACTGGTCTTGCTCAACGTCTCTGTTCAACAGCATAAAAGTAATTAGCATTTTCACTTTCCCATTTGACAGCCCTGAGACACATCAAACCAAGTTCCTTACCCGGCAGAGATAAAGATGAGTGGTTGATGCGTTGATCTTCTAAACTTGCAATGAAAAAAAAAAGCTTAAGCTACCTCTCCAGCGGTCTGATCCTCGTTTTGAAATAGTATGGGTGCGCATGAAAACACGGTGCCCATTTGCACTTTACGCCACGAAGGAACAGGCAGGGTGCTACTTGGACTGCCTTTTAATGAAGAATTATTTTCACCAAATTGAACATTTAGGTGCCGTCCTGACCATCCGACATTCGTGCGACCACATAATATTGCTGGTTCGTATACAACACCTTTCTTATTGCATTCTCTAAACTTAATGGTATGGCGCATCTAAGTTTTTCTAGCCAAGATATCCCTTTTTTTTTTTTGTTTTACATACGTTACGCTGCACGCGAAGCATGAACAGCGAATTCTTGTTTTGGCGGAACATATTACATTCACGTTGTACTGTAAGTCGATCTTTTTTAGTTGATCTGTGAGGCTGTGGACCTAAAGAATGACGGCTATTTTCATCTCATCTGGTTCACATGGTTTCTTCCATTCAGTCGGCTATTATGAAATATTTCACTATTGCTCGTCTTTGCTTCGTCATTTCTGTCAACTTGCTCTTTTGCAAATGTCGAGCAATGACGAAGACAGAAAGCCTGCTTGCATGAGTAACCTGGTGTTCGATATTGTGCCGCATGAAGTGACAGTATGTCTTCTACAGTGACGGCTTAAAACGGGAAAAAGCAATTCTGTTCCTAAACATATCACGACATAATCACCCAACCATTTGTGGTTTACAATCGAAACTAGAAGGGAGGAGGGTCTATTATGCCTATATAGATATGAAAACTGTGCTTTAAAAATGAAATGTTTTAGTGCAAAGCAAGCCCTAGAAGTTTCTGGCTGTAAATCTGGCCCACCCCTGGTGACCAGCATTTTGCCAAGGCATTGTGTAGTCTTGGGCTGGTGTGGGCGGAGCCGTTGTCTTCTACCAATTTTTCAGCCGCTGCAAATCGTTCAATTTCAGTGCAAAGCTGAAGAAATCTGAAATATTGAAGAGCCACGCACAGCCCCGCCGCGGTGGTCTAGTGGCTAAAGTACATGGCTGCTGACCCGCAGGTTGCGAGATAGAATCCCGGCTGCGGCGGCTGCATTTCCGATGGAGGCGGAAGTGTTGTAGGCCCGTGTGCTCAGATTTGGGTGCACGGTAAAGAACTCCAAGTGGTCGAAGTTTCCGGAGCCTTCCACTACGGCGTCTCTAATCATCATATGGTGGTTTTGGGACGTTAAACCCCACATATCAGCCACGCACATTATGAACATGCATGAATAATGACGATCTGTCTAATCAAAGCCGCCAATATCTCGATTTCACGAGCGGCTGACCACGGAGTAATATGACTCGCTGGAATGCAGACGTCCGCACAACTAGCTGCTTGTTACGTCATGGCTCAAGAGTGTGGCCGTGTAGGCTGACTCCCAGTTCACTCACGTGTTTATAAAATAATTCAGTTAGGATTTAAGTGCTTGACTTTATGCGCTTAAATTTCACCACCTCATTTGTTCATGCGCAAGGATTAACCCGAGTAATATGAATTATGACAGGAAATTGGGTGTCGTGGCCTCTTACCTAGTTTTGTATTGGAAGAGCTAAATTTTACAGTTGTTTTTTTTTATAATATTGCCTATGTGTAACCCATGTGGTCGAATCAGTCGTAATTTAGCATTAATTGTAAGTTTTCGCGAGTGTTATCCCACTCGTTTGGGTCCCTGTGCGTTATTTACGCTATTTTACAGTCAAAACAGAATGCTATCAACAGAAAAAAAATCTTCAGATTATAGAGGCCTATAACTGTAACCTGGGGTTATAGACTTCTGATTAACGTTTGTCGTCTTTCTGTAACTTAAATGCACGGTAATATGAAAAGTTGCATAGATGGTCGCAGGCATGCAGAAACACATCGGAAGAACAAATCTCTTTATTGTCAAACAATAGGTTAGAAGTTTTGACTAGCAACATATTCACAGCATGAAAGAAGGAATCACGTAATGAAATGTGCATACGGCGTTCTTTTTAGCTGTAATTTCTTTTGGCAAAGGCCACAAAACCTCAACTACTTCACTTGTTCGCTGCTTACAGAAATTAAAACAAACACACACACACACTGAAACTGCCCCACTGTTAGAGCCATTAACCTTGAGGAACACGGTTTAAGGTAATGTACTCCTAGAACACCAAAGCCTGAATGTGAAGGCGAATGGGAAAGCCAAGGAAGCCGTTATTTTTATAACGCGCATGATGATGGCGATTGTGGTCGAATTGGTGACGCTGCTTCGAAACCAATCTCAAGCTGCACGGTAGTTCTTTAATTCCAAATCTCAGTAGCAAGTGCATACGATGTTGAAAGGTCCGTTGCAATAGCCGCCCCGGTGCCCACGCTGATCTCGGCATTCCTGAAAACAGGACAGTGCCGACTTCGGGCAGCCGAACCCTGCAAGGATACACGTAGTTTATGTTCGTGAGAAGTGAGGAGCAGTACAGATTACCTGATCAGTGACTATTAGATCAAAGTATCCTAACTTCCGCCAACTAAGTCAGGCCGGATTATTTCAGTTTGTATTAGTATATTTAACTTGATCAACCATTCATGCTTCGATACTTCTGCCTTTCTCTTAACCTCTCTCTCTCTCCTCGTTTTTGTTTGCGCTGGTAATCGTTTTCTACATTTTATTGAGCAGCTTCATTAAAACCGTCAATTAGAGTTTTCCATTCGAGTAAATAAATGTAAAGACAATTACCAATGTCGAAGAATGTGGGGTCGTACGCTACCGCCATATCCACCAATGCGGCGCAGGCGACCAGAACAAAAGCGTACGCAAGCAGGTTTGATTTCATTCTGAAAAGAAAAGAAAAAAAATACTTTACATCTTACGTTTTCTACAGAATTTTTTATATCTGTATAGCAACAATTTTATTATTCCTTTGAATGGTTTAGTTTTGTGCTTTATGAAGTTCGGAGACAAGCTCGTATGCACGCGCGAGAATTCGCCTGTCGTAATTCTTCTAAGCCTTATAGCACCGCGCTCCCAGTCTGGTTCCTCAAACTCAGATTCATGTGTAGTAGTTGACAAAAGCGCTATGCAGCTCACCGTCATTATTACCCAGGAGGAGCAGTGTCGCTTACTGATTGTATCAATTTTTATAAAAGCAGCCCCAAGAGCAACTAGCGCAACAACTGCGACACAATTGTCGCGAATTCACAGCTAACTAACGAGAACATATTTCTACTGAGCACTATCGCACCTCTTGAGAAGATTGCTGTTTACGACAGCAAGGAAGAAACGCAGTACGCTATTCGCCTGAGATTAGGCTGTAGGGGGCAGCACCGTCACCGCCCTATGTGTGGATAGGCGGCTGGCGGTGCGCACGCAATTCTCAACGCTCAGAAAACGCGCCACGACGCGTTTTCTGAGCGTTGTAAGCCAATTGTAGGTGAATGAATTGCATTGACTGTTGCCTACTTGTAATATATATATATATATATATATATATATATATATATATATATATATATATATATATATAATTGCCAAATGAATGCACGAATCTCGCCGAACGTTATTGTTACTTGTATTAGGAACGCAATCTACCATTAAAAGGGACGTTCACTCCTGGCGACTGTGCGCACTTTCCCACTCTGTCACGTTTGTTGTATTTTTTTATTTTAAGCGCCGAGTTTGTGTCTCCTCTACTATGCACAGCTGCAGCACGACTGATTTCATTCTTCGTTCAAGCTGGTCCTAGATAAACTGAAGGAATAAATTTCATATTTTTGGGCAACGAGCATAAAGATATATGCCCCGCAGCGGTTGCCTGGTGGCTAAAGTACTCGAATGCTGACCCACAGGTCACGGGATCGAATCCCGGCGGTGGCGGCTGCGTTTTCGATGGAGGCGAAAATGTCGTAGGCCCATGTGCTCGGATTTTGGGTCAAGTTGAAGAACTCCGGGAGGTCCAAATTTCCGGAGCCCTCTATTACGGCGCCTTTCATAATCATACGGTGGTTTTGGGACGTTAAACCCCACATATCAATAATCAATACCGTGACGAAACATTCGCATTTTTTTCTTATTCAGTTCTTCAGAAAATAAACGTATGACAGGTAATAAGTTTATTCAGGAAAGCTACGTGATTCGCAGTGATTAACCACCTGGGGTTCTTTAACGTTCGCCCATATCTGAGCACACGCGCCTACATTTCCGCCTTCATCGGAAATGCAGCTGCCACCGGGATTCGATCCCGCGACCTGCCGGTCAGCAGCCGAGTACCTTAGCCACTAGACCACCACGGCGGGGCAGGAAATTATCTTCGCAGCGTAACAATTGTTTTTTTGCATGTTATTAAGCTTTTGCATGGAACGTTAATGTTAGGAGTAGTGTGCATATTGCACGAAATACTCCTAAGTGTTTTCTTCAGTGTGACACCATGAGCCATACTTCCATTGGCGCATTTACATATATTTAAAGAAAACACCAAAGCAACCCTAAAAATAGACAAACAGTAGATGTGCTTGAATAGACATCTTTTGGTGCTCGATACTTTACCAGCTTCAGTGAAGACTGCGACGCCAATAACAACGGCAATGATAATAACAGAAATGACACTAAATATTTAGTTCTATTCGTGCAACAGAAAGCCACAGAGCTTTATCAGCTGGCTTTACGTTGCACAAAAACTGAACAAAAAGCAAAGACACGTCCCTGTCAAGGCATACATGAACTTTGTTAAATGTTATTGTACTACTAAATATACTTGTACATAGCTTCTCAGAGTACTTGAGAGTTTATAAATACTAACCATCTCACTTTTGATATGAACCGACTACAAAGCTTTGTACAATGTCTGATATCATCACAACGAGCCATCTAAACAACAACCCAGTTACATAACGCTCAAAATAAAGTAACAATGACAGAAAATGATATTAAGGAGTGAGGATCATGTTGCGCTTTGTCCAATCTCTTTTGCCAATTTTTTTATTGTATTTGGCGTGATACTTTCCTTGTTCTGTGTAAGAAAGCTAGTATGCTATAGACTAGTTATGGGTTGAAGTATTGTGAGAAATTTCTCTATCAAATTTTACCAAAGACAAGGCTGTATATTTGGGATTACTCACTTGAAGCTTGAGGGCACTTCTCGCGTGACTGGGCTTTCCACACTTGTCTGCCGCTCCGGATGACTGAGCTCTTATGAGTGGATCAGAGATGCCATGCGACTGGTCTTAAGTCACCAATGCTCAGCCTCCCCACCCCCCACCCCTTCACTCTCGCCTCTCGGCCCGGGAGGGCAACATTCGGGGAAGCCCGGTTCGGCCGAAGCAGCTGCTTTTACTGAAGTTACGCCAGTGTCGACAATGGTGCTGGTATGAAACTGGGCACGGCTGCATGCCCCGCTGTGATGAATGGTGGACACTCTCTTCAGCAAGGGCTGTGCCCTCTCTTCGTTCAGGCACCTACGCGCGTCGCACAGTCTTAACACCACACCGACAAATTCTTGGACGTCGGGTTTCCCGGTTTCCGCCGGAGGCGGACATTTATCGTCACAGGCCAGTAGCGTGGCCACAGGCCTATGACGATCATCCTTTGTTTGTACTTATTTTTACCTTATTTTCGGCGCACAACTCAGGTTCTGCAGAAAATATAGGGTTCGGCACACGGACGCGCGCAAAATGCGGGAACCGTGCTACCAAGTGAAAGGAAACGATAGCGAGCGGCCCTGCTTCCTTGTATGTTCATTTACGTGCCTAAAGGGCGGCATATCCGGACGAACACTCTCACGTAGGTTTTTCGCAGCTTCACTTGCTCAAGATTGTTATTCATTTTCTTGTTCCGACATAAACGAGAAGACTCTTTTAAGGTGCACCTTGGTGTTGATGCCGCAGGATGTGACGTAAAATAAAACATTGACGTAGAATTGACTTATATTGTTTTCATTCAGTAAATATACACAGTTGCTTTTTTTAACTTTTTACCTTTTTTGAGAGGTGACAAACATGTCTTGCCACACGTGTACGACGTAATCGCATGACGTAAAATAAGATGTGTCCTTAGCATGTCAGCAAGCTGACGAAACTGGAACAGGATTCATCCAATCTCTCGTTCATGTATACTTTTTAATAATAAAATATTCATCACTAATGACAATTTCATTGTCATGATTCGTCTGTGTGTTCTTTATCGTCATTACATAAGAGTGAAATACTTTTCGAGTGCGTGACACTGGTCTCTTCGCAGAGGTACAAGTCCAGCAACGCAATGTTAGCAATGTAAACCTGCAAATGGCAGTGTGAAACAATTTGCTGAGTGTTCAACGCTCAAGTGAACATCAAATATTTATTTCCACTTAGCTTTATGCCAGTTTTATTGACCTTGTTAAATGATGCATAACATGCTGTTTGTATGTCACATATCTTGAAAATAAATTGGAGACCCTAAATCTTCGCCTACAAGAGAAACGCGATAGCGATATCCTGTCCCTAGTGCTTATTGGAATAATAATGGCTTCCGTCATCTGTAAGCTTTCCTGTAAAAAAAAACAAGAAGAAATGAAGGCACAAATACAGAAAGAGTCCTCTGCCTGTGTATATGAGCATTCATCTCTTCCTGTTTTTTAAGTTTGCTACAAAAAAAAAACACTAAAGAGGAGTTACCGAGAGGCCCGCATCGCATCTCTTGTGGGCTACCGTCAGTGACGCTTTCGCATACGGCTGCATTCTGTGTATATTGGGTAGCATCCTTTAAACTATGGACGATTGTGCGCGTGAAATATTTTGGAGTTTGCTATGCGCCCACCACGTGGCCTAATGGGACAAGGCGCAGCAATGTGTGTGCCTTTTGTAGAGTAGCCTGCTTTGAACCATGAAGTTATGATAATTGCATGTTCTGACGCCCGATTGCAATGTACGCTTATACCACGCATTATTACTGTGATGTTACATGTTGAATTGTGAAGCATGTTCAACACGCGTGTGTTTGTGAAGTATGCTATAGTTACCATCACTACCTTTTCAAGCAGAGGAAGTTATTTTCTCTTTCTTTCCAAGCAGACGTGCGGTTGTGTGGTAGAACACCGGCTTGCCTCGCAAACATCCTGATTTAGGTCCTCACTCGCACGGGAAACGTTTCATTTTTACTTATTGGCACTTTTCTCAATTTATCAGTAATGGTCAAGATAATGACGCTTCGCTCACAACCAAAGACACCGATTCCGTAACATCTGTGAAACAAGATCTTTAACCATAAAGCCTTAAAATGAACCACAACAAAGAACCGAACGTCACAGTACACTGTCAAAGTGCACTGAATCGGCCACGAGGGATGCACGTGATATCTAAACTTAGCAAACCATGGTGTGTTAGCTTGGAAGTAGGGTCAGCAAAGAATCTGTGAGCTAAGAATAGAGCCTATCGCGAACGTTTTTTAGTCCTTCGTTATTTCATTCAAGCACCAAATACATATATGTATGGACACCAGCAATGATATAAACAAGTAAGGCCTGAAATAAACAATAGGGTGATACTCGCTACTCTCGTATAGAAATGTATCATCTCTTTGCTTTTCAATTACAAATACAAAGCTTTGATTTATTTATTTATTATGACAGGGGGTTTACCATCTCAAAACCATCATATGAATATGAGAGACGCCATAGTGGAGGGCTCCAGAAATTTCAACCACCTGGGTTCTTTAACGTGCACCAAGGTATGAGCACACAGGCGAACAGCAATTTCGCCTCCATCGAAAATACAGTCGCCGCAGCTAGCATTCGATTCTGCGACCTGCGTGTCAGCAGCCGAGTAACTTAGCCACTAAACCACCAAGGCGGGGCTA